CTATGTCCAAACTCTACTACATCAAGCTGAAGAATTTACAGGAAGACACTTTGCAAGCCAATTTTTAATATGTTTAATCAACAGATGTTTGAAACTCTGCAATGGTTTGACCATGTGCTTTGATCGAGGGCTTGATGTCTGATGATTTTGACAATGCTCTGTTGCAGAGAACAGCAAAGATTAGTCTCAAGCTGCTACTTGTGCTGCAACACTGCTGGTCAGTGCTCACCAGCAGCAGGGTGCCATGAGAAGCAGGACACTGGCCTGTCTGAGGGACTACTGTGCTAACTCAGGTGCACAGTGGCTAGGACTCTTAACAGGTTTGTTCAGGGCAGTGTAGGACTGTCCCAAAATATATCAGCTGTCTATCTCTGTGTACCGTTGTCATTTAGGAGGTTTGAGTCCCTGCAATATCCACTCACAGTGCAGTAGAGAAGAGTCTTTATTATATTCGCCACATTCTTCAGTAGATTTACAACATATTTGCTGAGAAGGTCCTTGCTATTCCTCTCTTATTCTGTCTGCACAAATTCTACTAGTCACAACAGAAATTGCATGATTATATGAGAGACCAGGTGACTGTAAATGAGATCACATCATCCTTGAGCAAAAATACGAGCTTTACAAAGTTAGTCAATCAATCAAAGTTAGTCAATCAATCAAAGTTAGTTAATCAATTACAATTGATAATTTTTGATCTCTCAATTGAGTTATGGAAAAACAGCAACTAACCCAAAATGAACAGAAAATTTTAGAAAAAAATACAGAATTTTCAACTTGTGTCTTTTCTTGAGGATCTCAACATTTATGAAGAGAGCTTTGCAATGTCCCTGTAGGAGGCACGTGCATGTTTTTCTTGTTGTATAGTTGAGAAAGTGAATCAAAGAGGGCTTGTGAACTATGTAATGTTTCTCAGAAAGCCTAAAGAAGATTCAGGAGTAGAAACTAGTTGCTTGATTTTCGGAAAAATGCTTTAGTCCTGGGACCCATTCTTTCTTCCTTTGACTTTTATTACATTTTTATCAGAATGGCTATTTCCATATAAAATTGAATGTTACTTTTGCATCTGTGGTGCTGGAATACAGAGCAGCTAGACCAAGGTTTCTGTAAACAGGTTGTTTATGAGGGCAAAAAAGTCAACTTTGTTTTACAACTTTTTTCATAATGTTCTGGCTGTGAAAGGGAATTTCTAGATGTCAGGTTGCATTCAAGTCATGCAGAAATTCAAGGCAATTTAGTCAACACTAGAAATGAAGAAGCAACCTTAAGACAGAGTGTTTATGTTGTCAAAAGAATATCATTAGCTCTACTGTGTTATAAGAGTGTTTTCCTCTGCATTTCACTGTAAAAGCAAAATTTGACATACATTTGACAGGATTCCAATTGACAAAAACTAACATGTTAGCAAGTCAATACCACTGAGAGACCAATGTGATATCTGATCTGACAGCAAGATAAATTGTTCCAAAAATGAAACTGGTACTGAAACTAAATTTGTAATTGTATTATACATCTTCCAGAACATCATATACAGTTGATTTGCCCTCTGCCATTGACATTCTTGTCTTAATTTCCATGCAAGAATAAACACAATTTTTCCCCCCCAAGAACACCCATAAACAATTAGTCAGAAACAGAATATTAAGCAAAAATATTAAGTGTATTACTAAGCATGTTATCAGCTTGGTAGTGTTCTGTGTTTTTAATTATTTTTGAGATTTTTCAAAAACCTAATGGTCTGGACAGAGCTTTTTTGTTCCCTTTTTATTTTGTTTGATTTTTTTTTGGTAGGGTTTTTTTTTTTTGTCAGGTCTCCTGCATGTGCTCATTTTTGTGATCTCTTTTCTTCAGTGGTCTACCAAACGTCCGCTGCTATGTGGCTGACAGGACAAGGGAGGTGATTCTACCCCTCTGTTCTGCTCTGGTGAGACCCCACCTGGAGTACTGTATCCAGCTCTGGGATCCCTAGCACAAGAAGGAAATAGGTCTACTGGAGAGCAGCAGGAGGAGGAGGACCACAAAAATGGTCATCTGGCTATAGCACCTGTCCTATGAAGAAAGTCTGAGAGAGTTGGGGCTGTTCAGCCTGAAGAAGAGAAGGCTCTGGGGAGACTTTATTTCAGTATTTCAGTACTTAAAAGGGGTTTATTTCCAGTCTTTTAAAAGGGACTGGAAATTAGCAAATGTAACACCCATCTGCAAGAAGGGTCAGAAGGATGATCTTGGGAACTACAAGCCTGTCAGCATGACCTTGGTGCCAGAGAAGGTCATGGAGCAGATCACCCTGAGTGCCATTGCATGACATATGGAGGACAATCACGGGATCAGGCCCAATCAACGTGAGTTGATTGAAAGGCAAGTCCTGCTTGACCAACCTGACTCCCTTAGTGTGAGGGAAAGGCTATGGATGTTGTCTGTCTTGACCAGTTTCATGAAAGAAGGTTGTAGTGAGATGGGGGTCAGTCTCAAGTGAAAGGACAAGAGGAAAAGGCCATAAATTGCAATAGGGGAGGTTCAGATTATATATTAGAAAAAATTTTTTTCACTGGCAGAGTGGTTAGACATTAGAATAATTTATCCAGAAGCATCATGGAGTCACTGTCTCTGGAAGTGTTCTAGAGGTGTCTGGATGTGGCACTTGGGGATATGGTTTAGGGGTGATTATGGTGGTGCTAGATGATCTTGAAGGTCTCTTCCAATCTTGATGATTTTATGATTTTGTGATTATAAGAAAGATGGGGATAGACTTTTGGCAGGGCCTGTTGTGATAGGGTGACAGCTAATGGCTTTTAACTAAAAGAGAGTAGTTTTAGACTACATATAAGGAAGAAGCTTTTACAATGAGCGTGGGGAAACACTGGAACGGGTTGCCCAGAGAGGTGGTGGATGCCTCATCCCTGGAATCATTGATGATCAGTTTGGATGGGCTTCTGAGAAATCTGGTCTAGTGGAAGATGTCCCTGGTCATTGCAGGGTAATTCACCTGGAAATATACCTACCATCTTAGACTTTCTTCCAAAAAAAAAAAAATTCACTTTAGCATAATATGATAAATAAATATCATTAAGAAAATGATAGCTTCACTTTTGAGCCATCTCATATGATGTGTACTATAGATATGTACAATTTGCTTTATCAGTGGCTTCAGTTTGCTTCATAGACAAAAGACTAATTAGGTGCTTCAGAAGTTGAAAGAAGTTGACAGAGTTTCCTGGTCCTGACCAAGAATGAATGGCAATGAATACTGTACAAAAAATGGCTGTGATGCTTCTCTTTCAACAGGGTTATGCCAGAATTTAATCATGGTGATGAGGTCACAAGGTTTCAATGTTTTATTTACTAAATTGCCCTTTAACACTTCTGCACCACAAATAGCAGTCAGTGCCTAGATTTCAGGAGAGCATCACACTTTATTCAGTTTGCAATAAAGGGTGAGATAAAGGGTGAGAGTTCAAATATATTTTTCTATTTATTTGCAAGGCAACCTTAGCAGTCCCTCGCCCACTGCAGTGGTCTCTGTTTTGTAGCTGGGTGACAGGGTTATTATGGTAACTTAGCCTATGTGCTGACTACATTTTTGGCTAGTTTCAGAGTGCTTTTTATCTGTTGCTGTAATTCTGCTGTGAATATTAGCGACATATTTTTGACATACATGGTTTTATTGCATTAATGCTATAGTTATACCTTCAGTTAGCACATCTTACTTTAACATACTGTTTTAATATAGCAAAACCTACTACTATAGTCATAAGTGTGACTCTGTGCAGACTTTATACTACTAACATAGGTGTCATGATCTCACCCTATGAGACTGAATTGTGCCAGGCTCACTGCAAGGATTCAAGGAAATGGTGTTCAATTAGGGCTGCAAGACTCTCTTCTGTGATGGTAGTTGTGACTAAGAAATGTCAGTGTTACACTAACCTGTGTCATTGCCTCGGAAAATGTTTTGACAAAAGAGTGAAAGTGATATGTCTGTAGTGTCTCTGACATTTCCTGGCTCCACAGAGACAAGGAGCATTACCTTGTTCTCTTCCTTTGTAAAGAATATTGAAGGGGAAACTCTCACTCTGGGGCAGACATCAATATTACCAGCCAGAACAGACACAACAGACCTTCAAACACAGACCTTAGTTAATCTTTTTTGTTGATTTGGACTACTGGGACAATGTTGGTGTTAACTGTTTGTCAAGTTTTTTTTGTTTGTTTGTTTTTTGTTTTGATGAGAGAAAGTACAAAATTGGTAAAATGGTAAAAGAAACAACTATTTTTTCTGGTTTTTTTTCTCACTGATTTTTTTCCCAAATACCATGATCTTTCAAACACAGTACTGAAAATTAAAGTTGTTAACCCTGCTTTTGTGCTTAGGTTCTTGCCATCAACATTGCTCAAAAAACTTCTGCAACACAAAACTTAGTTGCTCTTATTTCAAGGCTGCAGTATTCAATGTGACATAGTCACGTTTTATTGTTTAAATTTGCTGCAGTGTGGCACCAGCACTTACAGAAACAATTAACCCTGACACTAGTGCACATGAAAATAGAAGTCAAAGAAAAACCTAGCAGACTGATAAGTGGTAGGAATAGTTAATAGCACTCTGCTGATGATAACTGTATGGATTCCAAACGTATTATTTCAGACAGCAATGACTGAACTTATTTCTGCTTGTTAAAGTATTTGTCTAGAAATAGAAATTTACGTTATAACACTAGAAACTGGATTCTGTGAAGAGGTCTAAAAACAGACTGGAATGTCTGAGCCCTTTAGTCACTTTAAATAATATGGTACTGAAGTCAATAAAATTACACTTGCAGACTACTCCATAGGCTTCTGCTCGACTGCTCTGGGATTCATTGTATATTAAGGCTTCATTTTCTAAAAAACCCATTACTCTAGTCCACATTAGCCGCACATTTAGCTTGCATGCTTGGTATAAGGATGGCTAAAAGACAACACCGTAATTTGTTATTAAAATCTTCATTTTTTTTAATTCATTACAGATTAATCTTGGAGATCTTGGGCAGCTATATAAAATCCGCATTGGCCATGACAACACTGGAAATGATCCCAGTTGGCACCTGAAGGAAGTCAAACTTGAAAGAGTAGTCCCTCGTTCTGATGAAGAGATTTGTCTCCCCATAGAGTGCTGGCTTGCAGAAGACAAGGATGAAGGTGATACGTGGAGAGAAGTGGCAATAAGAAACCCTGCAAAGGAGCTTTTGCCCTGTACGTGCTCAGTATTTTAGATCATAGCCATATCCTGTGAGTTTATGACAGCTTTTCATGTTTCTACCAGGGCAGACTGCCCAAAAGCCAGCGTGACCATGAAGTAATCCCTTTCAGTTACTTTCTATCTCCACAGAAGTAGGAAGCGATCACTTAACCTCAATTCTTTCCTTCCCAAAATCAGAATAATATCTGTGGCCAGTGCATGTAACCCCTATACAATTTTTGATCTCTCAGAGTGCCTGTACATCATTGGCAAATTCTGCTCTTTAAAGAATGGAATCGGGCAGAAAATCAAGGTATATCAAGGTACATAGTGTTACGTGACATCCAGTTCCTTTTGTCAAGTTTGATATCGTCGTTTCTTGTACTGCATAAAATATTCTTTACTAGAAATCCATTATCTGAATCATCACACGTGTTTTTCAAATCAGGCTCGGGTCACAGCCATTCACACAGGAATTGTTAGCTGCAGGGTGACACTTTGGTACTTCAAAGTTTACGATAGCTTTGACACACTTTGTTCTCTTCAAGTGAAGTAGGAAATAGCCCATCATATAAGATTATTGTTTAAAAAGTCCTGGGCCTTTATGAAGGAATAGGGATTTGGTATAATCACTTAGCATGATTTCTTTTTTTTTTAAATAAAATTCTCTTTATGTGTAGAATGACAACAATGCAGCTGATGGCCAATAATGTTTGACATTACGTAGATAAGTGCTACCATACAGTGAATTGCATTCAAACTGATGCAGTGAATTTTGCAAGGAATCAGTGTTTGAACATAAAAAAATATCATCATGCACTTAGCGACAAGTCATTTCAGAAGAAAATATCAAAGAAGTGAAAATGTTCAAGTCGAAAGAATATAATTCTCTGAAAAAAAACATTAAGACTGTGATGTGCGAGTGTATTATTAGAATGGCCAGAAGATGCTGAGGAACATGTATGAGCTAGTTCACATTTTCCCTATGGTCTTTTTTTTATTTTCTTCACTTTTTAAAAATTATTATGCAGAATATTTACTGACTTTAAAAAAAGATTTGAAAAAATAGGACTGACCTGTATGAATCAGGCCCTATGACCATTAAAATGTATCACAGTACCATAATAGACTCATAGTGGCATATATGTGGTATACTGGGGCAATAGGAAAATAGTGCAGAAACCAATTAAGTTGTACAAACAATCAATTCAACATCAATAATTCAAATCTGTATTATGTAGTCTGAGATACCCATTCATAGAGAAGTACTAATATTCTGGTAGGTGCACTCCAATTAAGTATTTCTGTGTGAAAAATCAAGTCAGTTCTATCAATGGCTGGGAATATATTTAAAACAGCACCTTCATTTACTCTTTAATTATTATATTACTGTATATTTCCTTATGCTTGCAGGAACATTGTCTTAATTAAAATATATGTCTCAAGTATGTAAGAAAAGATACATTAAAAAAATTTGGAAATTTCCTGAAAATTCAAATTTACTAATTAATTATTGATTTTGGGCATATTTAAATTGAACATCAATATAAACTCAGAAAGGAATCCAAAGGATTTCCTACTTATTTTCTCAAGAACAAGCAAATGAAACACTATCCATTTGCATTTTTCATTTAAACCTAATTGCTTACAAGTACTGTACAAATCACATCAAGTCACTTTCTCCAGCAGAAGAAACAATGTGGTGGCAATTACTCAGTGATGATCTGATATTATTTGGTAATTTGTATCCTGTACTTCCAATTCAATCTGTTATCTTCTGGTCGTATTAGATTTGCTTAACTATAAAAGTGATGTCCTAGAAAATTTAAACAAAAAGAACAAATGTAAACTAAGGACAAAAGGCACTTTTTGCACTTTTTTTAAACTGCTGTTCTTTAACACTTATCCTATTGTTCAGCTTCCCTCTTAGAAGAAAGGGTAATTTTTATCTTATTCTTTTTCTCCCTTTCCCCAGCAAAAATCTACTATGCAACCAATATGGACCCAAAGCCTTGGAGTTGATTTTTGATTCCTTGGCTTTCTGTTTTTCTAGCATTTCTTCTTAAGATCTGAATTTATTTCCTGAATCTTTTAGTTTTTCTTCACCTTCCTCTTTGAATTTTTTCTTTTCCATCCAAATTTCTCACCATGGTAACCCCTCTTAGTTTTTCTGACCGTCCCTCAGCCACTTAAAAAAATTAATACTAATCTGGTCTCCTACTCCCAGTGATGATTTCACTTCTTTCTCAATCTCTCCATCACACCAGTCTCAGCTTCCTTTACTAACTTAGGTTTCTTAACCCTCCAATATATGTCTGCATTTGTGCTCCCCTCTTTTATTATTTTTTTTTCACATTGCCAAGGCTTATAGGTCTGTGGCTCCTTTTCCTCTTCCTATTACTTCCTCTCTTTCGCTTTTCCAGCCCTGGAGATTTAAAAAGCTTCACCTGATCTATCTTTGAAGTTGTCCCTGAATTAAGCATGCTGTTGAACTAGATGATCCCTGGAGGTCTGCTCCAACCTGGTTTTCTCATGTGATTTTTCTATACAGTCTCATTTTGTTTTGTTTTGTTTTTTCTGATAGTCTTAGATATTTTCAGTTTACCAAACTTTACAATTTTGTTTACTTGTTGCTGTTTTGATAGGGTTTCATTGCCTAGTTACATTGTGATGAACAAAATAAAAGAAAAATTGTTCAACTATTTTCTAAGTGATAGGTATTGGAAACTAGTAATCATGCCCTGAGTTGGTTAAATCTTAAGTATCACTCAATGAAAATGAGAGAGAAACCTTATTTCGAGTGCTTTTGACTTAGCCTTATAACACAGGAGTATTACGAGAATCAGACCAGATATGACAGCCCAGCGTAGGTGAAGGTGCCAGAGCTGCATGGCCCCAGGTCCAACCAGCAGCAAGGCTCAGCATGTGCTTCTGGTCAGCACACAGAGAGAGAGCACATGTATTCACCACGTATAATGGCCAGCTGCACAGATGGTTGCACAAACACTGCACCAGCAGCCTCATCCCACTCCCTTCTCTAGCTCACCAGGATGGGTACCCACTAGTGGGACTATATATGTATGTAGATGTGTACACAGTAGATAATTCCAACAGTTGGGTTCACACACTCTCTCTGCTCAGCAGTTGCCCCTGAATCCCAGTCTCCTCAGTTGCTGGCATCTGGACATATGAGGCCCTGAAGCTGCAGCCCTGCTGCAGCTGCTGGTACAGATCCTCTCCCATATGCACACATGCATGCACACAGAGAACTGTCTGCCCCTTTGAGACACACATGCACCCTAGCAGGTCTCACCCCTAGAGATACCTGCACCTCACAGTGTGTCTGACAGCTGACTGAGACTCCCATGGTCCCTCTAGCATTCAGCTGCTCATGTGGCCCGGCACTTAGAGAGATGGGCTTTTAACCACTGGTCCCATTTCACTCGCTGACAATTTTACTTCCTTCAGGATCTCCAGCTGTTGTCATCCATGACCCCAGCTGGGTCTCAGTCCAGTCACTGGCACTTAGATCCCCTACCCACATGTGCGCACAGATCCGATCCCTCTGTTTTCTAACACCTGTTCCTCCCCAAGTGAGAAGGAGATCCATGTCTTTCCCCATCTTTAGTTCCTCCCCTGAACATCTCATAAATCCTGTGCAATTACAAAATTCTCTTCCCCTCGGCCCTATATTGTGTTGGACACCCTTGGGCAGCAAACCCCAAAAGCATGGCAGATACTGCAAATTGACTCACTGTGCTGGGTTTCATGCCCAGACACTGGGACTGAGACTCTCCCGGGACACGGCTGAAGGGGCTGGAAGAGAGTGTCCCTTTCTCTAAGTTGGGTTTCCATCTGTCCTGGTGCCCCTGTGATTGTAGAGATGGCTCCACATCAGACTAGGGGCTGACGGCTCCTGTGATAGGCCTGGGAGAAGCCAGAGCAGGGTGTTAGCTGGACTGCCCCCTGCCAATATCTGCCTGTGTTCTTTTGTAAATGTCCAGAACATTTTCACACATTCTAACATGGATTGTCTTCAGATATGGCTGAAGTTTTGAACTGAAGGGGTACGTGATACAAGAAGTGTTGAATTTTCTTACTGTTGTGTTTATATGAACATAAACTTCAAATGAGAATATAAATGGGTAAATGTATTCTGTTTTTCTTCACATAATTGAAGGAATAATTGTACTGATACGAGATAAAAGACAGACATAGAGACTGAATTAGGAAAAATTCCAGCCCAAAATATTTAGAATTCTTTTTCACTTGGAGAAATGTGCAGATAAATATAGAAAGTTCAGATGCACCTACTGACTGAAATAATGCAAAAGACGACCAAAGCAAATAGTAATGACACAAATGTTAGCTCTACAGAATTTGTATCCCTGTTTTATCACTCAGGAGGCACCAACTACACAGGTAAATACTCAAGCTTCTCTTTCCTATTGTAAAATCCATTAGTGTGTTTTTCAAAGCTGATAATTTTCTTACATGTTATGAAGAATATATATATTTTTAGACTACTGCTCCAAAGAGTAATAGTGGACAATAGACACCATTTAGTGGAGATTACAGTGAGAACTGTAATTTTAATTTAAATGTCTACACCTGATATTGGTTTTATATTTGGGTCTTCTCAAATAATATATGCACCACTTCTGAGGAAGATAGTCCCTCTTAACCACAATCAGCCGTTAAGACTTTGTTGTCTTTTAGCCTTAGCACTCACCAACCTTTACCCTTCTGTCATGGCAAAATGCCAAACACTATTTGTGAAACCTGGGTAGTAAATAGTTTGACAGATTGAGCCAAAATGACCATTTAATTCAAGTGGGCATGTCATATGGAAAAAAGGCCGAACCTGGAGCTGTTCTGTTATCTTGGAATGCCATCATTAAGGGAGGACTGAATAGAAAGAGTTTGACAATTTTAGTGTTGTATATCATTTAATATCCCTCTAGCTTTTGTGCACTTTGACCAATTTTTCTGTTTACACTAGCAGCCTGGTGGG